GATAGATAGATAGATAGATCATTCACAATGGTGCCCTACAGACAAAACAGATCAGTTATACAATAAAACGTATCATTTTTGTACAGCACATAAAAACAAACACAAGACAATTCACATACAAGATAAACATACATACATATAAACATATATACCATATATACATATAGTATCCAGTATGCAACCTTTGCTATACCTCAATGGTTCCAATGCAGAAGTTTTATTTATAATTTTCATTATATATCTAATTAAATAAAAGCCTACTAGTGACTCAGGGCTCATGGGGGCTGCTGGAGGTCCACAGGGCAGAGCTGACCCCTCTCTGTGCCCCACTAACTAACGCTAGGTGGCGTCGGACTTAAAAACTTCATTGAGACCCAGAGAGAGAGCGATTAATTGACAATGTCCATCCCAGAGGAGGGAAACTATACTCCTGCAGCTCCCAACACCAGTCCTCCTCCTCAGTAGCAACGCAGTTCATCCGGAGGAAACAACTATGAGAGAGTAGCTAGCATGCACGGACAATTCATGTAAATGGCGCCTGTGAAAGGGAAATTATATCAGCGCTTGCTGTGGTGTGTCGTCTTTCTTCCAATCTCAGGTAAGGAGCGTTTTTCAGTGATATTTAATATATATATTTAACGAGAGAGGTAAAACAGTGAGTAGTTGCTTGGTAACATCTCTGTGACGGACCGTAACCTGTAGACGTTGGACCGTTGGACCGTTGACCGTTAATGCTCTATGTAACTTTATAACGTTAGGTTTAAAGCTGAATCAACGTTTATCACAAGATAAACCGAATAAATTACAGTTTTTACATTCACATGTAAACATTTACATCAATAAATAAATGTTTGTTTTATTGAGTTAAACGACACGATCAATTATCGTCTGACTGAGTGAGAAACTGTCCTGTTTTAACTGTCAGTTAACTTTTAAACTGCCATTTCTTTCAGCCGTTAGAGGTTAATGTGTTTATTAACGTTACATGTTTAACCTGTAAGTTATATTTTAACCTGCATTTGTCTGCAGTTATAATGTTTAACAGCAGTGGTTTCACTCACCAGTTCAATTTAACCAGCTCTAATGAAGTATTTTATACATTAAAGCTGTAGCTAAAGTCACTTCAATACAAACACTGTTGTACATTTAAAATATAAAGATACTACTGAGAGTATGTTTAAAGGGCTGAATAATTAATAGAAATATTATGGAAATCGCAATATGACCCAGTGCATTATACTTATTGCAGAAGCTGTGATATGTTCTGATAAAGATGACTAATATATATAATAATAGTATAATAATGAAGTACTGTAGTGCTGCAGAGATGTCCTGGTCTACAAATATTAATTAAGATTTAAGAAAACATGTTTGTTTGATACAAACCCCCTAAAAACTTCACATGATCATGATTTTATTAGTTTTTTTTATTGACAATTAAATGTATGATGCAAAAATGATTATTCCCACACCACATCTATCAAAATAATCACAACATGATGTTTTTATCACATCATGCTGCCCTCATTTATTATGTATGCGCATGGTAATTATTGTATTGAGTAGCTGAGTATTTATAATGTATTGTATGTATAAGTATTTAGCCAGCAAGAGTCTTGACTGTGTGATCTTCTCACCAGGATTAGTCTAATTACAGAGGTAAAAAGAGAGATCAGCGGTGTGAATCAAATACGATGTGTGTGAATCACAAATCAATACATCTCATATCAGCTGGTGCAGGCGATGAAGACGATGAAAGATGCACAGTGTGGCCGGGCTTTATGGATGCTTCCTCCCTTTGATTTAAGAGAAAACCCTGGTCTTGCATGTCAAAAATATCACACAGTTGCAGCTTGTTGTTGTTGTTGTTGTTGTTGTTGCTTTGAATTGGACCCTGCAGTGTATTTAGTTGATTATTGAATTATAGCCTTTTAGGGAGGACGCCCTGTCTCTCTGTTTGGTCCACAAAGGTCACATTAATGAAACATTACGTAACGCTCTCGCTCTTGTTTAAACTAAAGGCTCTTTAAGGATCAGCTGTTCCTGTGACTTTATGAGCCATGAGTAATTGGATTAAAGTGGAGCGGGAAAGACTTTATGAAGCTACAGTGTGATTACTGTACAGGACTGTAGACCTCCTGCCTGCTAGCATTGTGACTGATGGATCTCTCACTCAGCCTGAGACTACAAACACTGATAAAACTCACCTTTTAAATCACGTTTAGCCTTTAGTTAGGTGAGTGTTTAAAAGCTTTGAATGTTTTATTAGACTCCTGTTGGTGCGGTGTCCCTCTGGCCCCGTGCTGATAACCACCTTCACTCCTCACCAGCTTCTTTCTTTCTCTTTCTACAGGTGTTTTATGCTTCAGTGAGTTATTTTTCATCAAGGAGCCCCATGACGTCACTGTCATGCGGCGAGACGCTGTCATTTTGGACTGTCAGGCGCACGGAGAGTCGCCCATCGACGTCAGATGGCTCAAGAACGGAGTAAACGTTTTGGAGAACGAACGGGTGTACCGACTCTCCAATGGCTCGCTTTTTATTTCGGAGGTGGAGAGCAGAAGAGGAGACAAATCAGATGAAGGGCTCTATCAGTGCCTTGCTCAGAACAAGTATGGCGCAATCCTGAGCCAGAGAGCCCGTCTTACAATCGCAAGTGAGTATCGCGCTGGAAGTGTAACAGTGCGGAGTCAGATGTCTTTATTCTGGCTGTTTGCTGCAATTCACTTGCACTAATCACTGATTCATTCAAATCTCCCTGCATGACTCTCCCACACTTAACTGTTTTATTTGATTTATTCGTTTTTTGCTGCTCAGTGTTGCGTTTGGTGCTGCTCCGGTAGTAGCACTGGAGGAAGAGCGACAAAGTCTTCAAAACCCCCCCCCAAAAAAAAGAAGAAACTGTTCGGCCCATTGGTGTGTTAATGAAGGAGCAGCAGATCTGAAAGGTTAGGAGCTGTCCAGGATACTGGCTCTCCAATGCTAAAGAGAAGATGACCCCTATTCACAGGCTGAGGCTTTCATGTTATTGCACCCTGATCGCTTGAGGAATTGTTCTTTTGGAAAGCTTTCTCCTCCAGTGCTGCGCGAGTTGGCCTCGTATCTTAAAGGGGGGAGAGCTTCAGGCAGAGTTGGTCTTCCGGGACCTTACATCCCCTCCTCCTACACCACGGGCCATGTGCTTGCTGAGCATGCGTGTTAACACTGTTACCCTGCTGGCATTCCCATCTGTACTAAAACAAGGTGCTGGAATTTAATTTTATGTTACATTTATGGACAAATAGAGTTTAATTAGTGTGAGTGAAATAACGTCATTAGGTGTTTTCAGCCACTGCACATGAATTATTGTGAAGCTTTAACTACATGCTATGCTCACTGGTTTTCTGGTGCTTAAAAGGTATATGTAGTTGTATTAATTAATTGAGTAGTTTACCTGCTTTATAGTTTGAAGTTAAGAGGTGATAAAGGCTGCCAGTAAGCTTTACTAGTTTGTTTTAAAATGGCACTTAGACCTGCTTGAGGGTCTATCTGGAAGCTCATAAAGTTTGCACATACCTGAGAAATGCTCAGTTGAAGGACACAGAGGTAGCAGTGGGGGTTGTGGCGAGTGGTGTGCACGCACACGTACGCACACACACACGAATGTGAATTGCCGTTTCCCAGTACCACCGCCTTCCCCTGAGTGTCTAAATGACCAAACTTTATGGCAGGTCTTGCCAGGTCAGTAGAGCTGGAGGCTTTGCATTGTTATCTGCCTCACTACTCTGGTGAAAGAGTGAAAAGCTTTTCCCTCTGACCGTTTTTGTCCACGTTGCCCCCCCCCCCTCCTCGCAGAAGAAAAGAGTTTCTTTTAGGGGCAATTGTTTGTCCTGATATCAGTGGACAGAACAGCTGGACCTGTTTGCCACTGCGAGGCTAATTACAGTAAAAGTTAAAGATCAGAGATTGATTGTAAGTAAGTTTACGTTTTGATTTAAAAGTCGTCATTAAACAGCCCAGAGAGTTTGACGTTGGTCTTTTGTCTCTGATGTATTTTAACTAGAGAGACTCGATGTCGATGTGTCTTCAGGTCTCTTCACATGTTAACTCCTCAGCCGGAAGGTGGATGGTGTAACATGTGGGGAGCCTCAGTACCTCCTTTCCAGAGCCGATTAGATATCCCTATATCTTTATCAGTCATGCCACCATATCCCGTCAAGAGCTTAGTTCAAACAACCTAAGAGAAGGACAGTAGAAGTGCAGGGATGGTACCCACTGAGAGCTCTTTAGTCCTGTGCTCGTACGTTGAAACTGCGGACCTGCTCGTTGTTCTGTCGAGGAATGCGATTGCGATGGAGGGTAACCTTAAACATTGTGTTGCTAAAGCACAAAGGTGAGCAGGGATCTGGCCCTGATGAAAAGGAAGGAGACACTTGAGCCTCACCATGTGACTTTTGTCAATAGACTTCAGATAGATGGGCATTTCAGGAGAGAGATCGCCTCCTGAGGTGACTGCTGGGGCATCAGGCATGAAAACAGTGTCAGATTTGTCATGAACCTTTACAAGCGTGGCTCATTTGAGGACCCCATGTTGGTTTCAGAGATGTTGGTAGTGAAGAACAAACGCGGAGGAGTCTGTAAAGATAAGTCGAAGTGTTGAAGTTGAGGAGGTCTGGTCAAAAGCAGATGCTTGGAGCTGCGTTGGCTTTATTTACAGCTCAACTGTGTTACGTAACTTTATTTGTTGCTTTCCCACTAACGGAGCGGACTGTGTTTATTTCTAGTTACCTTTGTTGTATTTGTTTCCAACATGATATCGCGATGAGCTTAAGAAGTGTTTGTTCTAGTTGTTGTTGAGAGATGAGAAGTGATTCAGTCAAGTGCTTGTTCTGCAGTCACCACTTCACCCAGAGCCGTGTGTTTTAGGGAGGCACCAATCTGACCTTTCCTCTGATAACACACAGTCTCATGTAGTATGTATGTGTATGTGTAGTAGCTTTATTGTAGAAGTACTATATTTGAGGCAGTGTAGTCCAAGTGCTATAAGAATAATAAAGCAAAGTAAGTGCCTGTTGGTGTGTTTGTTTCTAGCTCTGATGCAGATATCTTCTGCTCACTACTATTCGTGGTTAAAGTTGATTTTACCTCACTGGTGTGTCCAGAGGCAGCAGGACCGCAGCATTATTTAAAGTTGCTAAGGAATGCACAATCAGAAACCCCAACAAGACAAAAGCAAACTTCTCCCAGTGTGAGCTGTAGTGTGGATGAATGAGATGGCCTTAAGTGAGTCAACTCAAAGCCTGGATTCTTGTTTTTCTCCTCTGCTGGACACCAAAGGTTACCATGGTTCCCCTGAACGGCAGGCCCAGAGGTCAAAGGTTTCTTTAAATTGTTCAATAGATGGAGGGCAGCGAGCCCGAGCACAGGACTTAAATCTTCCCTACAATAACGCTGGAGGTTCAGAGTCGCTGCAGTCGTCATCAGTGGGTCTACTTTTGTTTTCAGGAGCATCTTTCTCTCTCTTGTACTGCTACTTTGCTCTGTTTTGTTGTTTTGTAGTGAAAAAAGGATAAAAGTGTTGTTTTTTTACACAGAACTTAACGTATAGCTCTTTACAGATTGACTTTTTCCACTCTATGTCCTGATATGCAGATCAAGGACAATAAAGCCACTGTCTGTGCTGAGTGGAGGTTTGCTGTCGAGTGATTGGAAAACTTTGTGGCAGAGATAAGGGACTGGAGGAGGGGATGAATACTCCTTCCAGCACCGCTCCCCCACCGCCCGCCCGGTGCTTTGAGAGGTCACGCTGCTCATGGGAATAGCTCTTTGTTTAGCCAGTGGTCACTTGACCGTCCTGCAGGCCTGTGATTGATGTGTGGGCTTTTTCTGCTCTGCATTCTTCTCCTTCTTGCTTATCAGCCCTCTTTTACCCCCAGATCCTTTTATTAATGTTCACTGAGGTCACTTAACATAGTAAAGGACTCATCACTCAGTTGAACAGCAGTGTTTTTCAGGAGTAGTTGTGTGATGAGTGAATGTGAAATCACCTCGTGTTGGAATAGGACTCTTAAAACTTTTCAGGGTTGTTTCTGTGAAGGTTTTCATCGGCCTCCTGATGCTGAAGGCCGTCACTACAGCCTGTGGGATGAGGAGAGGATGATCAGTTTTAACCCTGGGGGGTTTGGGACATCGGTGCCGTCCACATATGAGCTAGCTGATCCACCTTCAGTCAGTCTCAAGGTTTCTTTTTCTTAGAAAGATGAACTCTTTGGATGTGGCAGTTTTCTCTTCCTTTCAATGGGAGTTGGTTTACTTCAGAACAATTTCTGCATTTAGCTAAACAGCACTTCCATGATAATATCTTGTCCATGTGGGAGGACGGTAACATACTGTGTGAAGAGTAAGTTCCCTTACCTGAATAAGAACTACTCACTTTATGTAACATACAAGCTCTCAGACTGTGCTGTGTGCAGGCAGATAAACACAGTAATGGGAGAGGAGAGCGCTCTGGACTAATGCATGGTATTTGTAAGGGAACCTTTGTTTGGCCTGACCTGTCCACTGACCTTCACCCATCTGTTGAAGTGAGGCAACTACAGCTTCACTCTTTAGTTTGGACTGTAGGGAGAGTGTAATAAACCACAAGGGCATTTAGTTTTAACTTTGTGATTCAACATGCCACAGCTTTTGTGCGTTGCCGTTATACTGATGCTTCTCTCTTTACCGACTGATAGAGAAGGAAACTGACTCCTGTGTCGAGTTCATCATATCGTATTCCGCTGTAGCTGTGATATAATGTCTCGCAGCAGCTGGGCCGCATATATTGTTTTATTAGTTAGCAGGAAATGGTAGATGTCATCCATACAACAGTGAAGGATATTATTACAAAACAGCATTTGAAAACGATGCAGCTGGAGATCAAACTGAGAGACTTCTGGGCCGTGTGCAGGGCACCAGTGAGCAGCAGTTTGGGGTGGTCTTACAGGGCTTTGTCTGAGTGAGGGGCTAGCAAGGATTTGTGGAGGTCAGAGGTGAGATTGTTGGGAAGGCCGGATTGTCGGTTTCTTCATGCTTTTGGGGAATAATTGCCGAGGCATGTATTGTGTGTGTGAGTTGGTTAAAATGGTAAACAAGAGCAAAGGTCTGTGAGAAGACTTGTTGTTGTTTAGAACAACAACACAAAGAGTAGATGATGATGAGTTAATGCACATAATTAAAGTAAATCACAAACAGCTCTGCTTGTCTTCATCATTTCCTCTGCACATTAGATTCCCCTCATCACTTCATGGTTCAGAGCAGAAGGTCTTCTGTGTTCAGCTCAGTGCTCGACAAGCCCTCGCACTTATAGATCCTCCACCTTGTCTTAGTAGTTTATCAGTAATCAATGATTATCCCTGATAATGTTTGTCAATAGCAAAAGTAGTGAGGCAGAGGATCAGTGTATTTCACATGCCCTGCAGCCATATCACTTCACATTAATGGCATTTCTGTAAGAGCCTGCGTTAACATGGGCGGGGGTGGAGGTGGGTATGTGGAGGAGGGGGTTTGAATGCCGCTCTACTTCTGTGTTCACATCAAACAACCACAGTGGAGCTAAGAGGGGCAGCAGCTCGACACTAATGTGATTAAATGTGTCAGTGGCGAAAGCATCTGATTTTCCTCTCGTCCAACAAGTAAAGAGCGACATCGGGCACAGACGGAGAATCTTCACACTCAGTCGAAAAGAAAAGGATGACAAACAGTCACTTTGATAAATAATTATTTGAAGTCCCTTTTATCACAAGAAAAAAATACACTTACTTAACTACAACAGGGTTATTAGTTATAATGAATCAATAATGTCCTTAATCTAATAATCAGAAATACAAATGAGTTTCTTAATAATTCACAACAACCAAAACTGTCACTCTTAACTTGGTCTCATTCCTCCACAAGTGTGTAAAAGTCATAATTGACTGAATGTTTTTAGTTGTAGTCAGAGTTCTCCTGCTGCTTACACTCAGCCACTGTGTGTCTGTGACGGTAGAGGGATGTCCTGAGCTTTACCCCGGCGTGTGTTAAAGATGTTTGGATAGTTTTTTGGATGTCTTTCTCTCTGAATACCTGACGGACGAGGTTTCAACTTGGTGCCCTGCTCTCTTCTGTTTCTTCTTCTTTGAGTGCTGATGGCTCACTGCAGCAGAAGGAGCTCTGGATGTGTGCAGGGAGGTTAAAGAGCACCGTACTCTGTTTGTTTATCCATTACTTACCTTTGTTCTCCTCTGTACCGTGGATAACTTCATATATTTATGGTAATGGGTTAAATGTTAGCGTGCTGTGATGCCTACTGTAGCACGAACAGCAGTGTGATTGATTCCTTGTAATAAATGATCGACCTCAGGCTTCTGAAGCTGTTTCAGCATTGGGGGGTGGGTGTGTGGGGGGGGTGACCTTAATGGCTTTTAGGACTTTTACGGCCCAGGAGGAACAACTGTCAAAGAGGGCATTTATTAACAAAAAGGGCTAAAACAACTTAAATCATTATAAATGCATCCACTTCTGTTGCTTCACTATAAAAGGCCTTATTGTGATTCACGTTGGGCCTCAGTTGCTCGCTGCTCAGCTGGTGACTGACAACAGCTCAGTTTCAGGGAAACCCAATCCACGCAGGATGTAGCTGTTTCTCTCTAGTCATCGCCTTCCTACAGCACTCAGCAGGTCTGTAGCTTTAGGTTTTAGGCATCTCTGTTTTCTCTGTTTCCATCTCTAACATCCACTGGACCCTTTAGACTGGACACTGTCCGGTTGTGTAGGGCTTTTTACTGATTTCATGCACTGGCTTAAGCTTCTAATGGGATTTAGTTGAATGTCAATGCAACTCATTGAGCAAAATACAACACAATAAAGAAACACTTCAAAGGAAAGGAGTTTCCTGTGACTTTATCTCAAAAAGATATTAGAGATAAAAACATGAATGTTCTCTTGTTATGGGGAAGAATTGTACTACAAGACAGTTTTGTGTGTTAGTAGAGGCCAATTCTCCCTTTAATTGCCTTTTAGTAGATCTACAACTTCAATATGAAGAAGTTAATAAATGTTGCTTTGTTACAATAAACCAGTCGTTAATAATCAAGTGAGATAATGATCACCTCTTACTCAATACTGAGACGTAAACCATATATTTACCGAGACTACTATTCCATCTCATTCTGACACACCAGAAAAATACATTGTAGAAGAAAGAACATTTTGCGGGAGTAATACAGAACATTAAATGTGTATTAAAAGTTGTCTCCTGTTGCTCTGTTTTTCTGCAGGTATCTTCGCTTTTGCAATCCAGCCGACGTCAATAGTGGTAACTCAAGGCTCAGTCGCCAGGTTATCCTGCAAAATCAGTGCACACCCTCCTCCAATCATCACTTGGGAGTTCAATCGGGTCACATTACCCCTTGCCACTGAAAGGTATTCACTTGTTGCTTTCAGTTTAACTTCAACGTATTCATTTTCCGCATACTTACTGGACAGCAGAGTTTTTTTGAGGCGAGACATGAAATATAATCTGTGCCCGCTCTTTACCATTATGAGTTGTCAGTATTTGATGCTCCATAATCCAAAAGTGTTATAAATGTTGTATCTTATCTGTGTGTGTCTCTCTCTCATCCAGAATCACAGTCCTGCCCAACGGTGTTCTTCAGATCCACGCGGTGCAGCGGGCAGATGCTGGAAATTACCGCTGCATTGCCACCAACATTGCCAGCCGCCGCCGAAGCACAGAGGCCACCCTCACTGTCACCCCGGGTACGTCAGACAGCTCTCTTTTTGCAGATGTGTTGTGTAAAGGGCATCAACACACTGTTTAAGTAGTGAAATATCCATCAGTATTGCTTTAGACCTACTTAAATGTGGTTCAAAGGAATATGTGATAGGACGAGTGTGAAAGGTATTTAAAACTATTACTGTAATATCACAGTAAAGTCATTGTGCTTTGTGCGTCTACAGTTTGTTGAAAGGCTCATTTATTTGCTAAAGGGACAAAGATAGCACGATACCCATGACATCACACCACATGCAATAAACCTGTCTTCCTCCCCCTCTTCCTCTCTCTCTCTCTGCAGCCCCCAGTCCACAGCTTCCCCAGAGGCCACACATCATTGTCGGGCCACAGAACATTTCAGTGTCGCTGCACCAGAATGCCATCCTGGAGTGCATGGCCACAGGCAATCCCCGACCCATCATCTCCTGGAGCCGAGCGGACAGCAAGTCCATTGATGTTTACAGCACCAAAGTGTTGGGAAACGGCAACCTCATTATCACAGACATCAAGCCCCAGCATGGGGGTGTCTACATGTGTAGAGCCACCACTCCCGGCACACGAAACTATACCGTCGCCTCAGCTAACGTCACTGTGTTAGGTAAAGATATACAGTATACAATAGTTAGGCTGTAAACGTGTGGATTTTGTATTTATGATTTCAAAAACGTATTGTTATTATATATTTCTCACTGATGTTGTTCTTCTAAAGCACCGCCTTCCTTGGTCGAGTGGCCGGAGAGCCTGACCCGTCCACGTGCCGGCACTGCCCGCTTTGTGTGCCATGCTGAAGGAGTACCAACGCCTCGAATCACTTGGCTCAAGAATGGAGAAAAAGTTCACTCCAACGGTCGAATCAAGATGTACAACAGGTATCTTTCCCCTCAAATCCCTGTTCAAGTCAAATGTATGAATGTATAATGAAAACAGGAACCCTAACTCCTTTTTACCAGGAAACACTTATTATCAGTCTTTGTTGGCCAATCACAAAACTATTTGAATAAATAATTCATTACTGTCCTTACAGTAGAAAGGAAACTGAATAATTTACAGCATTTCAAATGGGGTTTTAGTTGGGTTTCCCTGTAATTTGCCCCTGCTCTTTATTCAATTGTCAGTGCTTGTTAAGGGTAATTATAGAATGACTACACTCTGGTGAAAGAGCGTCTGGATGAAGCCATCTGTGTGTATTCTCTTCATCTGTGTGTGTCTGTGTCCCGCAGCAAACTGGTCATCAACCAGATAATTCCCGAGGACGATGCCATCTACCAGTGCCAGGCAGAGAACGAGCAGGGATCGGTCCTCTCCATGGCGAGGCTCATTGTGGTCATGTCTGAGGATCGGCCGAGTGCTCCAAGAAATTTAAGAGCTGACACCGTGTCGAGCTCCGCCATTCTTCTGGCTTGGGACAGGCCTCTGTATAACTCGGATAAAGTTATTGCGTACTCTGTGCACTACATGAAGGCTGAAGGTGAGTAGTGTGTAAACAAACAAGAGAAAACATGGGGCCATATTTCCGTTGTCTTCTTGTCTCACGGGCAAAACTATTTCTTGTGGAAGGAAACTTAATATATTTAGATATCAAATGTTTATGGCAATATTTGTTCTGGCACCGATTTGGCATTACACTGAAAACATGGCGCCTACATTACCTATGATGCAATTAGACCGCCAACAGTGCGGTCGAGAGTCTGGTGTGTTATGCTAGTTATGCCCAAGACCTGTAAACAGACCTTGATGTGTGAAATTTCCCTTTAAGGCAGCAGGAAATAGTAGTTTAAGAGCTTAAATTCTGCCACTTCCTGTAAGTATATTGTGTGTGACAATGCGTTGTCAATGCTATGTTGGTGGTCAGAGGTGAAGGAAGACAACGTTTCTTTCTTGACGAACAAGAATAGTAAGCCCTGTGGAGTTTCAAGGCGCAGGTTCCTTTCCTTTTGGCTGATAAGATGCAGGATGCAGACAAAACTATTCACAAAAAGCACAAGGGTTGTAGTGTGACAGCAGAAAAGCCTTTCAGCTTTCCTGGGAACTCTTGCTGTTGACAACAAGAGTCACATTCGAACAATGCAACATTTCAGGAAAAAAAATCAGCTTGTTCATTCAAGCGCTGCACTTTCTTATAATGCCACTGACTTCCATTGGGGAGGTGAAATGTACAGAATTCAACTCGAGAGAAAGGAACACCTGCTGGATTTTGTTGGGGATAAGGAGGTCAAAATAAAAAGAGCAAGTTGGACAAATTCACTCTGTTTTATTCTTGAATAACTGACATCTGTCAGGGATTTTCTGCGCTTAATTGAGATTTAGTGACACAATCTCCTCGGTCCCAGTCACAGAGAATGTCTGTTCATGGACATTGACAGAGTATCAGACGCTCTGCACCTGAGGTTACAGACAGAGAAGCTTGGCACTAAAAGGAGGCTCTAATGAAAGGAAGAACTAATTAGCCTGTGTGATGAAGTGTCCAAAAGTGTGTATTCTGTGTGAGCAGTGGGAGAGTGTGAATTGGACAGGAAGGAAGACTTTGTTACACTTTTCAGAGAGGCTTAACTGAGGCATTCAGACTAAGGAGAAAGCTTTTTTTCAAGCACCTTGTTTAAAAGCTCCGAAATCACACCAGGTATTTTTTTTTCCCAGGGCAGGTTTTGTGTGACTTTACTAATCTTGTTTAATAAAACAACTATTACACAATCATTTGAAAAAACTGATGCAAGTGAACACGGAGATGAGAGTTGTTTCACCAAATATTAAAACACCTTTTTTCATAGCAACAACGCAGACATAAAGAATAGGATTTTGATCTACTGGTTTGTAAGTTTATATGTTGCAAAACCCCCAATCTTAAAATATGCTATAGTTAATTGATTATATAAACAAATGTGAAACATTTAAATACAAACTATTTTATTTTCTTAGTAACAAGACAGGACAAATTGAATGTATCACCCAGAAGTACTATTGATTTAGTTTAAAAGTTTATTTTACAATGTTGTCATTTATCCAGGATTAAACAACGAGGAATATCAAGTTGTCATTGGAAACGATACAACTCGCTACATTATTGATGACCTGGAGCCGGCTCGCAACTACACCTTCTACGTCGTGGCCTACATGCCCATGGGAGCCAGTCGTATGTCCGACCATGTGTTCCAGCACACACTTGAGGATGGTGAGCTATATACTCAGTGAAGGTCATATACAGTATAATCCTTCCCTCAGTGAACGCAGAATCAGAAGCAAGAGTGAAATGGACAGAGAAAGGAGAAACAGTGCGGAGTTTGTTTACAGGATATTTTAACTGCAATGAATGACTTTCTTGTTGATGTAAGAGACAATGTGTCTATGTACAGAAGCTCTTGTGTATATATGTGTAACTGAGTTTATGTCCCATGCCCCTAGATGTTTTGATTTCTAATTAAGGAGAGAAGTAAATAAAATGTCTTTTGATTCGTTCAAAATGTTTGATTTGGATGTGTAGCTGCATCTTGCATTGGCACTTGTATTCTAGTTTTGGACTTAGTTTGCATTAGAGTTGGCAATAAGACTTCTGTTCGGTCTTAATCTTCCTGTCTTGTCGGTCCACAGTCCCCCTCCGCGCCCCTGAGCTCAGCCTCACCAGCAACAGTCCCATGGACATCCAGGTGTCTTGGCAGCCCCTTCCAGACAAGTTGAGTCGTGGCCGAGTCACCGCCTACCGTTTATCCTATCGCACCACTGCTGAGAATGCAGTCTCACAATTAGAGCTACCCGGAGAGAAGACCCAGCATCTCCTGCAGAACCTGCAGCCTGACACCATCTACCTCCTGCGTATTGTCGCTGCCACTGGCATAGGGTGGGGGGAGCAGTCTGCCTGGACGTCCCACCGCACTCCGAAGGCATCCAGTGCTCGAGGTACAACATTTGGAAGGGTTGTCTTCATTATTTCTGAAATAAATAAAGTGTTTGTACCAAAAGTCTGTGATTGTCAGAATTTCTGCAATTAGACCCAAAAAGCTGAATTATCTCTGAACTCCTCTCTTTTGTTTAAACCATGAGAAACAGTCCAGAGAAGAGCTCGCACTAGTAATCTTGTTAAGGCATTGCGTTTGTTACTCGGTGACCTTTAGCCTGCACTGTCAGTACCATTGGAAGGGCTTCAGTCATGGGTCATAAAGGGAGCGTCACAGGCCTCTGGGTGGGAAAGAGTATACTGCTGCTTAGAACCACATCTGAGGCTTTGAGGCGGGGGAGGGAAAGGTTTGTTTTTCCTGTCCATCTCTGTTGCCCTCTGTCTCCAGTTTAAACTCAGACAGGAGTCTTCAATTGGTAAAATTCATTCCCCTCATTCCTAAAATAAAAATGTGTGAAATCACTCCCTGTATCACTGTAAAGTGTGGTGGTCTCTTGGTCTGCACTGAGCGTGAAACAGCTGGTGATGCATCAGATGGTAAACCCCTGGTCAGGAACCTCCTCTGTCCCTCACGTAAACACTTGAAACCATTCCAGTTTTCTACTTCTAACAAGTTCTTGTTTTCTGGAAAACTTCAGTCATAAGATACACATAACAGAACAATGGCTTTGACGTCTTGTTTGATTTGAATTACCTTCAGGGAATATTGAGATAGTTTGCTGTAGCACAGTGTGACATTGATAAGACTTACATAATATAAATGTCTGCAGTTTATTTTGAGGACTGTTTGTGAACACTTTATTACTTCAACCATTGTTTTCGTGTAGGATTGTAATCCATCTCTCAGTGTCTATTGTTAAACTGTTCTTCTGGCTCTTTTCTCTCTAGTTCCTCTGGCTCCAGAGCTGCGTTTGGAGCCTTTAAACTGCACCACTATTTTGGTGCGTTGGCAACTTGCACCCAGGAACTCAGCCATTGTGCAAGGCTACAGACTCTTCTACCATGAGGAGAGCCAGCCAGAGAGTGCCCCGGTTCAGCTGCGTGCCTTGGATAATACACACACCATCGGTGGCCTTGGTGAGTTTTGTTTCAAATTATTTTAGTCACCTCCTGCCACTGTGGTGGTACCTGGTACACAGGGAAGTATACAGTATTTTAAATGGTTTTCTTGGGAACATTCAACAACAACTTATTCTACAATGGATGATATGATGAGATTTTAGCCATCTTGCTGTATAGATTAGCATTTTGCTGAAGAAGTACTTTTCTTAAAACTTCCATAACTTGTTAGTTAAAGTACAAGTTTCTATCAATACATGGAATGATTTGAGCACGCACCCGCATATTTCTACAAATAAATGAAAATTTAAAAAAAGATTTAGTTAAATAGTTGTTGATGGACAAATTTGGATAAAACCAGCAGCAGCATCTATTGACAGCCAAGCTTATGAGTGTTTAATTGGCTTAAGTCTTGTCATGTGTCGAGCAGCACCACATCCCACGTCCATGACCCCCCAACCTCTGTGCAGGATTTCTATGTGTGTGTGTGTGTGTGTGTGTGTGTGTGTGTGTCTTTTCAGCAGCTGCTGTTTGGGGCATATCACAGCTCTTCTGGCCTTTAGGTCAGATTCATTTTTGTTTGAGAGAGGAAAGGGGCTCAGGCCAATGCAGTGGACAACTGACCATCTGTGGCCAGAGGGGGTCAACCAGGTGGTCAGCAGCTGACTTATAAATCAGGAAGCTCAGTGCTAGAACGGGTTAGGAAAGAAAGAAAGATGAGGAGGCACTATAAATTACTATAGGTGTTAACTCTAACTGCTGCAGGCATTGAGTTAGTTAGATATTTAGTTCAGTGGTTTAAACACTACTACTATTAAAGCCAGTGCTACAGTTCAGTTATTATGAATCCTACAAGAACTCCCCTGTTTCTACTGATAATATTGATTATGAATAAAATGAACACTGACACTGATAACATTAGAAGAACTAAACTAACTTAGATAAATATACAGACATACCAAGGATTCCAGTCTAATAATATCCACAGATGGCATTCTCAAGTCAAAAGGAAATAACTTCATTTGTGTTTTATTCATTCAATTTCCTCCATATTATTTTATTGCCATAATGGTTCAGCGTTAGCGTGTATTGATTTGAGGACATCTGCAGTTTTTGAAAGTTGTGTGAGTGATTTCTCTGTTCGTAATAAATATTCTGGGAGGAAGAGGAAGTCACAGCTGCTGATAAATATTAAGCCAATCAGCAAAATTAGCAACATTAAAAATAGAGCTTCAGCTGAATAAGAAGAATGATCTTTTTGTTCCTCTTTGATAAAGGAGCTTTGCAGAGTTGTGTTTTGAAGAGAAGTGAAGCTGTTTAGTGGAGGCAGATTTATTATGTGTTTTATGACTGCTTTGAGCAGTGTTGCTGGAGGAGCATTGACATCAAAGCCTCTCATTGTGTTTGGCTTTGAGAGCCACAAAAGATAGTTTATTAGCCAAGACTTAAAGGAAATGCAGCCTCTCACCAACTGAGCTGCAGGCCAAACAATGAGCGTGTCTTGTGGGATCACTATCTTGTAGTTCTGCGATTTCTTTCTCATGAATTAGCTGCAGCACTGTACACAAGGAGAGAGGTGTAAAATGTAGCATCTGACCTCCTTCAGAGAAAATCCTGCTGTGCTGTGAGAAATCTGACTAAACGGCTTCAATGCTTCCTTCTTCAAGACATTACTTTTTGCTATTGCATTGGTAATGCACAGTTCATACAATATGTTGTTTTAAAATCCTTTAAAAACAATTAGATTTCAAAAGGAATTGAATGCTAACTTTGTTTGAATACGAGAAAATGTAAACAGATTTACACATTTAGAGACGACCCTGATATAAATACATACTAAATGTTGAAACCTACTCACACATGAGTCATAAAGTCTATTTACTGACTCAGTAATGCCGGTTATAAAGCAACATCTACTGTATCTAGAGTTTGGTAACATTAGCCACTGTAAGCTACTGGGAATACCAGACAACGTAAGGTAGAAGCAATAATGTAAGTAATGAACTGAGCAATCATATGTTTCCTTGCTAATGAGTTCAACTTTTATTCAAAGGAAGAATGTGTCTCACTTTAAGGGTGATGGGGAACACCTTAGATCCTCTAGTAATCTGTGGAGCTTAGTAACTACTTTGCATCCACAATGATAATACAGAAGGTCATTTGCATTTTAGGAGGCATTAGATCAATCATTCGACTATTTAATTCTGAATAAATACAGCTATTTTCTCTGCTACAACGTCTTATTTACTGAGAGTGAATTCGTTCTGTGGGAATACTCTTCTGTTTGTAATTTGTGTACATGTTACCCTTCACTTTTGTGCTTCAATCATTACATTACAAAATGTTTAGTCGTCGCTGCATATTGAAATACTCTCCAGAAGCTAAAGATATTCTGATGTAGGAGTCCACGTTTTCTGTCCTCGAGACTTCCCGACACTAAATGTTGATTTTTCTCAGCAGTTGTTCTCTGCAAATTAAATCAGCTTGTGCTGTAAATGGTGTTTCCTATAATCCCTGGGATGTTGCAGACAGCAGCCAATAACATTGATTTCTGATCTATACCAGCTTCGGTAAGACTGGATGTAGCTGACTCAGCTCCATGTACAGCTGCAGAAGGGCATGCTCTGAGCTGGCTGTTAAATGATCACTTATGACGATCCAGATGATTGAAAGCACACGCTGAGAGACAGGAATGTGTTTGAGAGGCTCCAGTTGGGTATAAATGACACGGTGATGTGACCTTTCCTCGCATGTGTTTTTTCTGCCTGGCCCATGACAACAACATGTAGTCGTAGTCGAAGCTTAAATACCTCTCATACCTGTTGGCACCAGGCAGCGCTGTGTTCACTCCTGTAGATTTATCTCACAGCTGCAGGCCATCTTGTCCACTCCTTTTATTAAACACGAGGCAGAGCATGTTTGATGTGGAAAACTAGATCCTGGCCATCAGTTTAAAAGCTCATTTTGGGCTTAACTTTTCTGTGTGTGTGTGTCAGTATGTGTCTGCGTGTTGATTTGTGTGAGTGAGGGCAAAAGAGAGGCAGAAAGAGGGGGAGGAGAGAGAGATGATAGATGCTGGTGTGAGGATTCATGTGGGAGTTGACATTTATGGCCCCTGTTCAGGCCTGGCTTGCTGCGGCCTGGGGGGCCTTTCGCAGGCCAGAACAAAACCTCAGGGGCCAACAGGATCTGCATTTTGGCTGTAAAAAAAAAAAAA